ACACTTCTTAGAGTTAAATATAGTTAAATAAATACTTAATATAATATTATTAATAAAGCTATTACTAGTAAAAGTAAGTTTTCTAATATAATATATTAGCATAGGCAAGATAATAAGTCTAAATGCAGTAAAAATCTACTTAGAGGCATATAGAAGTGCGTGGAGACTTAGAACCTAGGAATTGCTATTAACACCTATAGGCTTTATATAAAGAATATTAGAAAACTACTAAGCTAGCTAAGGGCAGAGGTGCAACTAAATACATAAGGGAATAGAGGTAACTGCAGAGAACAGGGTTCAGTTATAGTCAGGGCCAATACAGGGACCCTTCGGATAGGTTCCGAGCGACCCGAGATAGAACGATTCATGAGAATCGTTACAGGTAGCGCAAGGGGCATGGCAGGGTTGGGGCAGATACAACCTTTAGATGTAGGTTTGTTAGGTAAACTTTGTATAGAACAATTTATACAAATTGTTACAATAGTCTTAATTACTAGTCTACTAAAGCGAATTATTAATAGTACCTATAGCTAAGTAACTAAGTATAGAGTTAACTTTAAAATAGTTTTTATTATTATTAAAAATAAATATCTTAAAGACGCATTCTAATCTAACTATTTATATAAGTAAATAGTCTACTTTTATAAAATTTAGTACTTAAATTATATTTTACTCTATAACACCTATAGTAATTAAATAAATATTAAAAGAAATCTAATTTAAAATATTTACTTTATTAATAGTTAACTAATTCTAAAAGAATTAACACTTTAGAATAGTTATCTAAAGAAAACTAGTGTTTTAGAAAAAAAACTTTTTAGAAAAATTCTACTAAAAGTATAAAGTTTTCTATATTTGTTTTTTAAAAATTATTAGCGTTTTACAACATTTATAATTAAAGCTTTAGTAAATCTACTATCTTCTACTTACTTAATACTAAAATATAAACTTATTTTAACCTCTACGTTTTTCTACTATCTAATATATCCCTAGAAATCTGCGATTAAAAACAACTAGTGTAAAACACGCTTCTATAAGCTTTATAGTAGAGATAAATAAGTATTTTAAATAAGATATAGCTAATCTTTAAAATTTTATAAAGTATGCTTACACTACTACTAGAAGAAACTTAGAATTATAAAAAATTAGCTACTAATAATAGATTATTATCTTGTATTTTACTAGTTTAACCTAAAGCTTAGTAACAATTAATAAAGAAACTATACTCTATATATTCTATAATAGAGAGAGGTTAAGGTATAAGAATTAAACTAAAGTAAACTAGTTTCACAGTATAGCATACAACGCATCTAAAAAGCGCTTATAAGATTATATAAAAGAGTTCTATGTTAAAAGATTTTAAATGAGAGTAAAGAGAGAGGTAGAAAATAACCTAGCAGTATAATTAGAAACATTGAATATGCAACCATGTTTAAGAACCTATTCTAGGCTTTCCACAGCTTAATATTTAGCATTTAAGACACAATATAACTATTGTAGAGAATAAGACAAAAATAATACCTTATATACAGTAGCTACATAGTTTTTAAAGTGCAAATAACTAAAAAGAACTATACCCAACTGTCTACATGTCAGATTGAAGCACTGTTTCTGGGCTTCCTGAGATGAATGATGGGTTTGGATATGATGTATGGGATGATTGATTGATTGTCTTGATCGTGTTTATTTATCGATCCTTTTTCTGCTCTACTCGCGTTGCTCGGCTTTTTGTTTTGCCGATCCGAGTCCCTCGCGCACTTGCCCTATGCGCGACCAGCTTGCAACATGCTGCAATTTGCTGCAACATGCTGTAAAATGCTGCAACATGCTGCAAAATGCTGCAAAATGCTGCAAAATGCTGCAATTTGCTGCAATTTGCTGCAACATGCAGCAACATACTGTTCGAGCTTATTGCTCGTACTATGTAGCAGCTTTCGTCAAGCGTTCCTCCTGTCTTGACAGTAGGTGCGCATATCTGACACTACATACCTATCTAGGCAAGAAATTAAGTTGTCTAGTTTAAACTACCTAAAATGCTGCTTAATATTAATAATATATCAACAGGATGGATATAGGTCCAGTTTGGGCTTATTCAGTTGTTGTGAATTTTAGAATCCGGGAAGCATAAAACGAGACAACATGGGGCGGTGCGGGAACTAGGCAAGAAAAGCTAACAGGGTTGTGGGAATTAGTCTTGGGACTTCGGCGCAAGTGACTCCAAAAACGGCGACAGAAAGCCCCTAAAAGAGGAGCCAAAAGTCCCCAGACATAGAGCTACTCGCGTAATCCATACGTTGGAAGCAGCCCCGTTTTGAGTCTCTTTTAAAGGTCTCTGGGCCTATACTAAGGCGTGGGCGGTTGTTCTGACTATTTTGAGAGACGTAAAATGCATTCAGAAAACTATGCATCATACTGGGCGTTGATTTTGAGTCGAGCCTTGTCTCGACATAATCCATTTTTGCGATTTCTTTATCGCATTTTCCAATATTTCCAGCCATCAACAGAAACTGGAAGAATTGAAGATCGTGATTCAGGGTAAGACGCAATGACATACGAACCACTACCCAATACTTTGGGTCCGAGGCTGGCGGCATGCTCTGCAGGTACTGATATTTTGGCATGGAGAGTGGAGACAGTACTGGTACCCCTTAGCGCTGATCCCGAAGGCAGAATGAATCCGTGAATATTCAAGCTCTTGGGTCTAAGGTCCTGCGCTATTCGGTGATTTCGATATGAATTCGAAACAACCGAATTGGGGGCCAGTGAAATCGTATTCGTCGTCTTTTGAGTAACAAATGTTCTCATTCAGTCGTCCACTCAGAGTCACTGCATTAAAGCTTTGGTCGTTAGATTGTGGTCCAAGAAACCGGCAGCATAATCAACCAGGAATGGAAGCATTGGAGAGGCTGTCCCAGATCGATTCTAATATACTGGCTTTTTTAAAGGCGCACTGCAGGCCCAATCCATCATCCGGATTTTCAGATATTTTTCGTGTACACCAGCTTTGCATCACGCTTGCTGCTTGCATGTTTCTAGGAGAGGAGGTGTCTAGTTTCTGGATTCTGCATAATTTTGAGAAGTTATATCCAGATCTCGTACCATACACCTCCGGACTCCGTAATATTATTTCGTGGAGGAGCGCAAGGGACGCCATGAAGTCTGTTCTATCGTGGTCTTTTTCTTCAAGAAGGGGATTCCCTCATTCAAATTCCCCATCGTAAGTAGAAATCCTAAGTGCCAGCAGCACAGAAAAGGAGATATGAGCCATGAGAGGGTTTCACGGATTTGTTTGCTCCTGCTCCCCGAGAAGCTCTGCACCGCATGATTTCCGCCTGCGGCAATTTTATACCGGCATGAACTCGAGGTTCAAGAAACACCGCCCAGGAATCTCGCCATGTTCAAGCATGCTTAGAATTTAGACCTAGGTTGACCCGGAAGAAAGGAGGTGTATTTCGATCTTGAATGCGTAATTGAATCCCCACCGGTTGCTGGATTCCGGATGCGCATTCGGTGATATCCATAGCGCTTTGATAAGCCCCCAAGAAGGTGGAGTACCAAGGATACCTAGAAATTCCCCGCGCGCACATAGCTTGGCTATGTTGGAATATTCAATCCAGAAGAAGCCCACTCATATGGAAGCAACACTGAGGCTTTTAAAAAGGAATTCCGAGACTGTTAACGTTGTAGTAACAAGGCGCTAAACCAAAACGAACATCATGGCGCCGATTCTGGCTTTCGTTCTCTATCAAAACTTGGCAAGGAGGGTTTCGCTGCAAACACTCCAACACCAAATCCCATGGCTCCGATATCGTATCAGGGAAGTGAGTGGTTCGGGAAGCTCTCGTGTGACCCGGTAAGATAGTTTCCTCGCCGGGGGAGGTAGAAGACATGGGGACATAAACCGGAATATCTCGACGGCCGAGGACGAAATACACATACTCCTTTGGGAACAGTTCTTTCGGTAACCCACTCCTAGTGTCTCTAGGGGGTTGTCGAAAGAGCGGAGATCTGCACACAATGATAGGCTCTCACAGTTTTTCGACTGGCAGACAACGGATCCAGAGTCCAGGGACATGGCCTGGGGGCACTGGGTATTTTAGAAAGGAAGTCATACGTGCTCAGCTAGGAGTATCTGTTTTAAAAGACGGATGTGTTAAGAGAACATTAGAAATAGATGTTCTGATTTTCTTTTCCGGGGGTAAGTCGGTTTTCAGGTGCCATGAGAAACATGTGCCTGGCGTGGTACGTTTTTAGGGATTAGAGGTGTGGTACACGTCGGCTTTGAGACTTGATGTTTCTTTTGGAGATGCCAGTCCGGTCGTGACATGGAGTGTAGGATAGAAAGCTGGCAAGAGCGAGCGAGGGAGGGCTTATATACCCAGTCCATGCCAGGTAGGCTTCTTTCGACCGTGAAAAAAAAGAACTGGAGTTTTCACACTGTTGGATGTGCCAGAGATCTAGCCCCTGACGACTCTTTGTTTGCACACACGTGGTGCTCTGGGTGGGCGATATTATACAAGCGGGACTTAACTGATCGAAGATCATGGGAATAACGGATATGATGTGGCAAATGGATAACAGACTGCGTGACAAAGGAAAATGAGAATCGAACAACCCCAGCAGTGAGAATGCAAGAGAAGATGGAGACTGCTACGTCCAGGAAAGGATATATGTCAAGACCTCAATTCTGTCTGCTGATGACATGCTCGCCCGCTCAAATGGAGCTCATGATCAATGTGGACAAGAATGAGGAGCCGAGGGAGACAACCTCAGTCATTCAGGTTGGGCTTCGGCTGAATAACCAAACGAAGCTGGCGACGCCGAAGAGGACTAGAAATATGTACCCAATATGAAGAGGCGAGGGAGGAGAATGGAAAGCCATGAGAATGTCATAAAACCAACACACACTAGAATAAGGATATATAAATTTGTCACACTGAGACTTATGTGGGAGTCTTACCCATCAAACTTACCCATGTGTCCGCTCTATATTCTACCTTCTACTCCAACCTCTCCATCAACCCTCTCCTAACCTTCATATTAACCACACCTCCCACCCCAAACGCGGGAATAATCCTCCCCATTCTCGCAAATGCACTCTTCCCCCAATCCCTGACCACCCTCGTCGCTCTTTCCTGCCAGCCCACCCCTGGTCTATTATACATATCGAGGCCCAACAAGTGCAGCGGCGTAGACACCAACTGCACGGCTGCCGGGGTCAAAAACTGCGCCGTGCTAGCTGCTCCGACGTATTTTTTGACTTCCTCGGACATGCGTTTGTCTAGATGCGGGGAGAGGAGTGGCGGGAGGTTGAAGGAGGCGAAGATAGTAAGACAGTCGCGGACGGTGAAGAGGGCAAAGGTGGGGAGTGGAACTGGGCGCGTGGAGCTAGCTGCGCCGAACATTTGCGTGAAGCGGTTGTCTTTGTAGAGGCAAAGGGCGAGGTTGGATGTGGAGGTTGCCAGGAACTTGGAGGTTCCGGCTGTAGTAGTCGTGATGGGCTTGTTCGAGAGGGTAGAGGAGGCTGTGTCGATGGTGTTGGCGGTTAAGTAGGTGCCGAAATATAGCGTCTGTCTCGTGAGCTCTTCTCCTCCATGCTTATAGGTACCTCAGAACGTACGTAGATCAGGGCAAAGGGCTTTGAGAAGAAGAATCTATGTGGACGGAACAGCATCTCCTTGAAAGACGCCTGCAGACTCGCACCTAGGGTATTACGCCCCGATGCATTCTCAATGATTCCCCTATGGTATATCAGCGCCCTCATCTCCCATGTCAACCAGCTCGTTCGTACCGATCAATCGCAGTAATAATCGGCGCAACCAAAACCCCGGCCGCACCTGCCGCAATAGCATCCGCTCCAACCCTCAGCCCCAGTCTCGACGTATTCCAGCTCTTCTCCGCACCAACGCCATTCATACTCTTCATCGACGTCGTCGGTATCTTCGCAGTAAAATTCGGGGTTGGTAACGGTGGCGTAGTTGTCGAAGGTGCTGTCCAGCTTTCAGCCTCAACCGCACTGGCAATTTGAGCCGGCTTCACCACAGCAGTCCGCTGCTGGCGCTCTCCTTCCCCCATTGCAGCTTCCTCCGATGGTTAATGAATTCTCGCTTCCTGTGCTGCATGTATTCTCGCAATATCAAGATCCGTGACCCCGCGCGAGGGGAACAGGAATCGTATGACGATGCGTGTAGCGCGTATATCTACGTCCGCTCGAGACGCGCAGGCACCGCACTTCACAGAGACGTGGTTTAGTGAGGGAAAAGCAAATACTCAAAGGAAGGCGAGGTTCGGATTGTGACGGGTAAGCAGGCTGTGGAATAAATTTAGGGCTGAGTGTGGCAGGTACTTCGGCGCTTGGGCCGTCGGGGCCCGATGACGGAGGAAAGAAGCCCGAGGGACGAAAAGTCGTAGTGCAAGAGTCACCGGGCTTGTCATTCGTCAATGGCAGTTGAGCCAGAATGTCACTGCACATCAGCATCTGTCACCCACTATCACCACATAAAAGCGGTGAGCGATTTCGACTACCTCATATTGGGTCGACTACGACAGCAAGCTCCACTCCCCATGACACCACATAACTTTTCCCAGCCACAAAGACACCAGCACCAGAGCCTCAGACATCCACCCAATACCAATGCGCCCGACTGGGATTCCACAAACATCCGATAATTTAAGTAGAATGAAACGCGAAGAAGACCACGGGACTAAAAAGTAGATAAGAGAAGAAGACAAGTAATTACTTTACACCATTACCAAATCCACCTCGTTACACCACTAGGCGTGACAAACGAAGGAACACAATTTCTTAGTGAAAGTGACACATGCTTCCCTTGGCTCCTTAGAAGAACAGAACTCCATGAACAGAGACGACTGCCTGTTTCTTATGCTGCCACCAATGCTGTGCGCAAAACCCTCCTCATGTTCATGCCCCCCTTCCCCCCAATGCCCATCGTGGCTGCTAGTCTGACAGCGTTGCGTGAAAATCTTTCCATCACACAAGGCCTCGAATCGGATCACAAATCTTCCCAATGACAATGCCGTCCTTCCGTAGGGTCAAAATCCGAGTAGTAAACAACCTGGGGAATAGAGAGAGGAGCCTTTCGCCGAGATGCACCCACAGAACGCCTCCCATCCATTCCCCCGCCCCCCTCCACGTTTTTCGAACGCCGAAATGAAGTAAAAGCGAAAGGAAGAAAGAGTTGAGTTAGATAAATTGAGAGTGGCCACCACAATATCGTCAACTAGTCTCAACTCAACCCTTAACCAAGTAAAAGAAAACGACGCACCCCAAATGAGAAACCCCCAATGTGCATAACCGCTTCATCAATCATCATCATAAACTCTTGCAGTAATCCACCACTAGCCTATCGTTGCGACTAGGCTATCCGTTGGGAGGATGCAGGCATCAAAGCGGACATGACAGGCAGGGCATAGTAGGGCAAGGCATTTGTTGTAGTGTGGCATTGACTTACCTTGCAGTTGTGACGGACAGAGTTAATTTCGGATTTCTCTCCACCGCGATCGCAAGGTCTTCGTCGTTTTCAATGGGGTAAAATTGGCCTTCCAGCTCATCCCTGTATTCGACCACGAGCTCCTCTTGCTTGTTTTTCTCGTCCGGCTTCTCTAATGCCCTGCGTTCCTTCAGTTTCTGGTAGAGGTCGATGAATTTCAACGATATCGGCATGCGAATAACCACACAATTGTCTTCCTCGAACCATACCTTAATTTTCAAAGCAGAGCCTAGCCCGGTTGACGTGGCAGAAAGGCCAGTGTTCTGGTGCTGAATCTGCTGGGGGAAATTAGGTCCTCCATATGACTGGCTTGCGATTGATTGACCCCGTTGGTGGTTCGGATAGCCAGACCCTGTGGAGTACGGAGTCTGAGGAGTCGTGGCCTGCAGTTGATCGGCCGACGACTGCCTTGAGGCTCCTTGTGATGGGTCAGAGGATCGTACCGATGTTTGCGACAGCCGATACTCTTCCGCTGCACCGACCTCTGGATCTATCTCGTAATCGCCTTGCCTTGGGGCGAAGAAGCTTTTTACCAGATTGCCCTGGGTGATGTGAGGTCCTAGCTTGAGCAGATTCTTAATATACTCGTCCAAATTGGCTCGTCGGCCGTTTGAGATGTTGTCGGTGACGTAGGTGACGGGACCAGGCATGAAAGGGAGGGTTCGCTCGCCCGAGCCGCTGGTACCAGCCTCAACGGGGTAGGTGGCGATTAGCTGAATCTGCAGATCATAAAAGTCTTGGTATAGGCGCTGGAGCTCCCAATATCGGCCATCTGACATCTGACACTCAATGATGAACCAGAATATGTCGTCGGCAAAACAATATTTAGGGACGCATGCTTTAACGGGCGCCAATAGGGAGGGATCGGATGCTCGTTGGGGTGGTTGCTGGTTCTGGTTCTGGTACTGGGAGGGGTTGCGCGAATGAGAGGGTGCCTGCAAGCAATGTCAGAAGGAAACGGGGGGGAAATCTGATTAGGCAAAACTCGCCGATTGCTCTTGAGAGAAGCCGCCATTTGCGTCACGGCCCGTTTGACTCTTGTTGCTTAGACTCATGCGCGCCATGCCTTGTTGGAGCGTCTGCTGCGAGTTTGTCTCTAGCTTGCCTAGTGGGATGCTTCCGTTCTTGTAATCAGCCGCCATCTTTTTCCATTCCTCAACCTTTGGCACGCCTGCCCTTTGGACGGCTTCCTGTGCGTCTGTTACTGGCTGTCCAGTGGTCATGTCTCGAATCTCGATGAACGACACTGGGATCAAACCGGGACCGCCAAGTCGCGTGATGGGCTTTGCGACGAACCATTCTGGGTTTGACTGTGCGATGACTATGATGGCTTCCCCTTCTTTCGCCTCCAGCTCGTCTGGCCGCTCTGCCTTGAAGTCGTACATGACAATGCCGTAGACCATGGCGCCCGAGCCTTTACCTAGGGTTTTCGACAGCCTCATCTTCGATATGTCGTCGCTGCCGTTGCTGCCGTTGGGGCTAGCAACGCCTCGTTCTGCGTATCCGGAGTCGTGCGGGGCGCTAGGCAGGCCTGGAGTCATCGACTTTGTAGAGCTGCCACTGTCTCGCACTGTCTTGCCGACAGGCTCAAAATATGTGACGGGCACAAGACCTCGTGTCCCGTGCAACGGGTTACACGCCTCGTACCAGTCCGAGTCGTTTTCCCGGCCTACGACGTGGAGAAAATCGCCTTGTGAGAAGCTGAGATAGCCGGAGTTGGGGTTGGGATCGGGTGCCTGGTAGTCGTAGAGGGCTTTGATGACCTGCGCGAGCGAAAGGTACCAGTCAGCGCAGCTCGTTTACAGCCCACGGCGCCTCGCTGCCTGCTGCAAGCGCGGCGGGGTAGTAAGGCGGCGACAACGGGGACAACTCACCTTCTTCGGCGGGACGATGGCTATAGCATCCTTTGGCGGTATGGAGATGTGGTGCGGCCGGGTGTCTTTCTCTCCTTTCATCGACCTGCGGAACTGCGGGTAGTGCGTTAGCTGGATGGTGCCCAAGACTCGACGACGGACAGTGAGGCGCGAGGACAGAACAGCGGCCTACCTTCATGGCGACGGCTCTTGCGCGGCGACGGTGGCAGCGGTGATGGCAAGCAGCGTGGACGCGGTGCAGCGGACTCGAGGTCGGTGGATGTGGTGGATGTGGTGTAGACGGTTTGATTGCAAGGCGATGTGCGGATGGTGGAAGGGCCCTACAAGGATGAAAACCGGCAGATTGGCGTGAGGGTGCTTGGGCCGCGGGGGGAAATGAACAGCGCCTCGTGGGATGGCTTGTGCTGAGCTGGCGCGGGAGTCTCAGAGAACGGGAGCCCGACTGAGCTGCCCAGTGTGCCGGCGTGGTGTTGTCGTGAAGTTTGCGAAGTGCCCAGTCGACGTGGATGGACCAAGTTTGGTGCGAGGGCGAGTGGCAGAAATGAAGGATGCAGCGCTGTTCTGGCCACCCCCCGGCGGTGACCCTGGCTGCCCGCGCCTCTTGAACAGTGGCTGCGACACAGCAATCGGACGGGGGCGAGCGGCGCAGTGCGAATGGTCAGTATGCGCGGCTTTGTCACGGGCACCGCAGCGCTGAAATGACGACGCCGCAGTCCACAGTGACAGTATGGGCGTGCGGAATCCCAGTCAAAGGAAGGGGGGAAGAGAAAAAAGGATCGAAGGCCCAAACCGAACGACGCGATCGGTGGGGATGGCACATGAAGGCCTCCAGCCGGCGGCCAACCCAATGCTCAACACTGGCTTAGTTGCTGGGCAAAATGCAGGTCCAGCTGCCCTCCGCTCTCCGCTTCAGTCAGGCATCGCGTGAATTATGCCCTCTGAACCAATCGCCTCATTCAAAAACACTCAATTTTTCTCCACAGCGTTGCCGTTGCCCGCACAGCTGGCTGAGCGCCCACCACCCCCTCTACCACAAGAACGCATTATTCCTACGCGCAGCGCCTATCCAGTGTGTAATTTCTTATTTCCATTATTCTGTCTGCTTCCATGCTTCGGCCTGTGCGGCCTTTCCCGAGCATCGCTTGCATTGCAGTACGCCCGACGCATGTCGTTGGCTTGTTCGCTCGCTGATGCCGCCTTGCAGGGCAGGCTCAGACTCGACAGCACTCCAACGCGCTCAGCACACGGGAAATTTGTGAACCAATACATTAGCTATCGCGACGAGAGCTTCCCGTCGCTCGCGCTTCCTGCTCCAGAAGCAGAAAGGGAGCACCGTTGAACTTCGTCCAGAGCTTGCCGACGCCAAAAGTGTGAGCGAATCACAGTGACAGAACCCATCTTCATGCTCCCATTGGCCTCCACCTGCGCCTCCACCCGAAACTCCGCAATGAAAATGCTGGCAACACGTGAACCATAAAACACCCACAAGCAATCCATTGCCGCCCAGTCCCGCGACGGCTGCACCCAGTCCAAGGGATCGAGGTAGCTAGAGATCGTGGTGGCGGAAATGGAGCCCCAAAATGCATGAACGGCCAGGTGCGCATCTGGAGAACATACGGATACATACTTGCCTTGGCCGAAGATTCCATCGATAATGCTGACAGCGGCAAATCCCACGTGCGCAATCGGGTATTTCACACCCCATACCCGCTCTAGGGTTTGAGACAAAAAAAACCATCTTGTCCAAGGGTGCAAATTGTCATCACATCCATGTTCGAGCCGTGATCTGTCCTGGAACAGACCGAGAGCAACGGTCTGCATCCGATTTCGAGCACCAACACTTTTCGCCCTGCCCAAAATGCAAAGGTGACGTCTCCCAAACGAGACTAAGCGGTGCCACAAAGTGCGGAGTAGGACCGAGTCCACGATCCCGAGACGTAAAACGTATGAAGACCCACGAACTAGAACTTTCCACCCAACATCGCATAAAGCGGGAACCCCGCCATCCGGTCGGTTGAATCGAAGAAACGAAGCAATTGACACCGGGTAAGGGTGTTTGAAATTACTTCTAGGCGGACGAATGCCGAGATGACGTAGGAAAGGTGGCGCAGGATATCGCAAGAAACTTTTTGAGAAAATTGTACACGTTCGTACGGGATATAAGAATATCAAAAGAGAAAGAAGGTTGGAGGTCGGGGGAGTCATTCGAAGAAGCTATGTCTACGATCGTACCGTGACCTATATCTGTCCTTTGATGTCTACGGTTTTAAAGGCAGCAGCACGATGATGTTCGAAGATGCTCGCTGCTGCGGTTCCCCTGAGAATCACACGAACTTGCGTTCCCTTTTCAGTGACTTTCTCTTCGACCAGGTCTTGGGCGCCGCAGGTGGCGAGAAACTCCTGAGTTTCCCCGTCGGAGTCGAAGCCCAATTCGTCCGTGAGAAAGCGAAGCATCACGCTTATGTATCTACCAAGTGTTAGCAGGACCATTGCACTGGAGTTTAGAAAGAGACACTTACGCTTTGGATATATTAGCGAGAGCATGGAGACGCTCACGCTTGATGAACAAGTCCATCAGGTAGCCTCCCATATGCGGCGCCGAAAGATACAGTCTGAAGAACCTATGGTAGTTGCCAAGGGCTAGCGCAGAGCGGACATCAAGGGCATGCTTCACTTCTGGTCGGATTTTGTCTGCTGGGGTTAACTCTGCCAACAAGTCGTTCATGTCGGTTTTGTTGCACGTATACACGAAATAGAGGATGCGGTATGCTGTAAACTCGCCAGGGTGTCCTCCAAGCTTTTGCGCGTAGAGCGCCCGTAGCTGCGTCTGACACTGGTTATACTCACCCAAGTCCCCCTTCTCCAAAGCTATCCGAGCATGAATTTCGTAGACACTGACGGTGAAGGCATTTTTGATGTGCTGAACTGTCAGGTCCTGACGCAGCGACTTGAACTGGTTGCAGGTGTAATTGTAGTTTTTCTCTTCACGCCACTTCTTCTTGAGCAGTTCCAGGGTCTTCTCAAGCACATGCTGCGGGCGAACAGTCTCTGGTTTGGGGGGTGCTGTCAGGCGGAAGTAGCTTTTCTCGAGGGTCATGTTCGTTCCAACAACGGGTCCGGCAGGTAGCGGTGGCTCTGAGTCAGAGTCATTTCGCGAGGACGCCCACGGGGGGGTTGAGCGACTGCCAGATTTTGCCGTCTGGAAGCGCTGCTTACGCTTCTCCAGATCAGCCTGGTTAAACTTACTGTTCCCTCCTGCAGCCTCGTTCTTCTTCTGACGCTTCTCCTGCTTTCCGCTGGAGTGCGTCTCTCGTGTATCAAAGGCAGTATTGTTAGTTTTTCGCCAAGGCGGAGGAGTGCCATCGTCCGGATTCAAGGCTTCCATATCTGAGCTCTTTCGCTTCTTGGAGCTTTTGGGGGAGGAGAAAGATGAGATGTAGTTAGCGGATCCATTTGAAGTCAATACGTGGTTTGCTTGAGCCGTGTTTGCGTAGCCATATCCATTCCCAACGACGGAAGCGGCAGCAGCAACAGCAGCGGCGGCGGCTGCTTTCCTCTCGTTTTGGACAATCGTCTGTGGGAGAGGATAATTTGCCCAGTCAAGCTGGTCCAAGAAGTTGAGCTCGGCGAAGTACTGGATTGTCTGTTTTAATTTTGTCTCCATCTCGGCACTTGAAACGCCTTCGATGGCATTGTCGGGTTCAAATGCGCGCTGGACATATGCACGCACAGCGGGGGGCCAGGCGGCCTTCTTCGGCTTCGCATCTGGCGAAGGCGCTGCTTGCTGCTGCTGCAAATAACGATGAACAGGATTCGAAGACGGGGAGTGCTGGCGGCGGGCACTCACAGGAAGCGGTTGTGCAGACATCACGAGGGTCTGACGGGCTGGCACTGGGTTGTAGGCGGGGGTGTGCGATGCCATGGGCTGGCGCCACCCCATCGTAATGGGCAAAGACATGAGAAGGGGTGCAAAATAAGAGGGGAGGAGGTGCGTCTTCGATGTGGCGCGGGTGGAAGTAGAAGTGGACGAAGTGGTGAAGGAGTGAGGAGGAGTGAGAAATAGGGCGTGGCCGGGACGTGATTTGGCCTCAAGGGTCAGGTGGCAGTCGCCAAGAGGGTGAGCGAGGCGCTAACCGCGGTGGGTGGGCCAAATGACGAAGCCAGGCTTGGACTTGAGTGTGAATTGCGCACGAGCGTGGGAAGGTTCCCTGTCGGTCGCAGTCCTCGGCCTCTCTCGCCGTCGACTGTTCTCTCGCCCATGACCTGAATGTTTCTACATCAACTAGACCTCACCACTGCCCTGCGCCCCTCGCTCTTGCCGGAGGAGACGCTGCTGTTTGTGCAAGATGCTGTAGGCCTGTATGAAGGGTAGGTGCATGCCCCTGGACCCCCGGGGCTTGGGCTAACAGACAATGGCTGCTAGAAAATACAAGATCCCCCAGTACCAGAATGGCCAGGCGTACCTCACTTCTCACCGTGCATGCTATGTCGATAATAATGAGCCGCGAAAGTGCTCCGTGGCCATTAACTTGAAGGATGTCGAGCGCCCAGAGTTCTACGTATGGCCCGCCGGCAGTGCCCAATTCTGGCAAGTCTAACATACGTAGGCTGGTTTCCTCAAGTCCTCCGCAAAGATTACGCTCTGGCCAAAACCGCTTAAACGACTCTCCCTCTCCGCACGCACGCCTCCAGCACCGGCAGGCATAACCTATAGTCCCAGCTCGACCACCCCTGAGAGATATGGCAGCCCCTTGCGCTCGCTGGCACCCTCTCCAGCACCCCCGCCGGCTGCTAGTGCAACGTGGATATGCCCGATATGCTCCTTTTCAAATCCAGTCCCCTCCAACTTCGATCCCGCAACTGCGAATGCGCATACTCCCCTACCTCCCTGCTTGGCGTGTGGCATAAAGCCACCATTGGTGCACGTGGTAAAGGCAGCAATAAGTGCGATGACAAACCGGCAGAGCTCTCCCCTTCCTCCTGTTCCTCTGCCAAGCAACAACACATTCGGGAGACTGTCCTCCACAACGAGTCCTGCCAATGCAAATTTTGGATCGTCGGGGTCAAACTCCTTCTCATGTCCCAGGTGCACATTTCAAAATCATCCATCTTTGCTTACATGCGAGATGTGCGGGGCGTCGCTATTGTCTGCCGCAGATAAGCGTCTCGAGATGGCTAAGAGCATGGGCAGGTCCGAATCACCCGGCCCCTCCCTCAACAACTCGCCTCTTCAACAAGAAACCGTCGAATGCATCAAGTTCTCTTTCCGTGCGGGTGGGGAGAAGATCTTCTACGAGCGTCTCAAGAATGCCTTAGTGCAGCGGAAGTGGCTTCTGCAGAGCGCCCCACCAATTCCCAAACCTCGACCTTCGTCCGGCGCTTTCGACGACGGATATGCATCCGCGCTGGATCAGGATTCTGACCGCAACAAGGTTGTCGGCATTGCGGGCTTGGAACGACGCGGCATTGAGCAGAGGAGGAACAATGAGGCAGTGATTGGAGGCGCCTTTGAAGATCTCGAGGCGCTCATGACATCGGCCAAAGAAATCATTGCTCTCGCAGAACAGTTTGCCTCACAAGCTAATTTAGGCACGAATGGTAGTTCTGAAGCAAGCGCTCTGGTATCGCAGTCCGCTTCAGCACTTGGCTTAGTCACCACGAAGGATATGCTTGGATCGGGCTCGGGCTCAGAGTCGCTCTACGTATCGGAGCTCTCTAGGAATCTAGCAGAGTGGTTGACTGATGATACACGGGGTATTCTCAAGAAAGAGGGGGGCATCGTGACTTTGGTCGATCTCTGGGCTGTGTTCAATCGGGCAAGGGGTGGCGTGGAATTGGTCAGTCCGACGGACTTCGAAAAGGCTGCGCGGATGTGGGATAAGCTCAAGCTTCCGGTGAGGCTGAGACAATTCAAGAGTGGGCTGCTTGTTGTCCAAGGACGTGACCGAACGGATGACAAGACGATTACTAGTCTTGTTGCCTGGCTACGAGAACTACATGATGAAGCTCCGGTAACTGATGTGCCGTGGGACTGGCGAATATACGGTCGTGGTGTCACAGCTCAAGAGACAGCAGAGAAGTTTGGCTGGAGTGTTGGCGTGGCGACTGAGGAGCTTGAAATGGCAGAGGAAAGCGGCGCTCTTTGTCGCGAGCAAGGACTTGATGGATTAAGGTTCTGGGAGAATTGGCTTGTGTCGACGCCTACTTTATCGACAAGATAGATCTTACGATGTGCATGATCGACATAATAGATACGAGGTATATACGTGAACGAATTATCACTCGGCCTCGGCCCCTTAGATCCGCGACTATTCATCCTTCGCCAACATGCACAGCCAATTATCTTTCCTAGGGCCTGGTAGTTGTTAGCTCCCGGCCATGCCATCTTGAGATGAAATTTCGGAGTTAAGCTTCGTCGGCAGCGAGCTACTGAAGGGCTAGCATTTTAGATCACGCCCCAAAGTGATTTCAACGTCTGCAAACAGCCACCGGAGTAAACAATGCGGAGTTAGCAAGTGTAATGCAGGTGCATTGAACGCCTTACCATATAAAAGATATCAACTGTCATGCTGCTCAATCAACCGTTCATCTCACTCGCATCTGATACTTTACAAATTCCCCCAAGCCTACTATACGATAGAAAATGTCCGATAAAACCATTCTCTTGATTACAGGCGGCAACACGGGGATTGGATATGAGACTGTGAAAGAGCTACTCTCATCCCCGGTTCCGTATACCATTATCATGGGCAGTCGCTCGATCGACAAAGCTAAAGACGCGATTTCCACTCTGACATCTGAGAACCCAAATTCAAAGTCTGAAATTGTGCCACTGCAAGTTGACATTGTGGACGATGAGAGCATCGACCAAGCATACAAGGAGGTTGAGAGTAAATGGGGGAAAATCGACATCCTTGTTAACAACGCTGGTATGCGCCGTTACAAACCCTCTAATTTCCCCTCTATTTCCCTCTTCTTACTGTCTGCCTGAACTAGCGAATCTCCTCTTTCAATGACCAATATTGTCTCACACTCCACTAGGCGCGTCCTTCGACGGCATCATGCAACAAAAGCCCGGCGCAGCCGGCATCCGCGAAGCGTGGCAAACCTCGTACTCCGTCAACGTAACTTCAACCCAAGTCATGACCACCATCTTCATGCCACTGCTCCTCAAATCTTCTACCCCCCGCCTGCTCTTCGTAACCTCAGGTCTCTCTTCCCTCACTACCTGCTCCTCTGGTCTCATTTCCGCAATGCAGCGCCCCAACCCTCCAGCCGGCTGGCCCAAGCCGTTTGAACCTTCGCACATCACGTATCGCTCTAGCAAGACGGCATTGAATATGATGATGTTGTATTGGAACCGTCTGTTGAAGGAAGATGGTGTCAAGGTTTGGTGTATTAGTCCTGGATTTTTAGCGACGGGGTTAGGAGGGGTTGGGAAGGAGGTGTTGAAGAAATTCGGCGCAGGGGATGCGAGTATTGGGGGGGAGTTTATTAGGAAGGTGGTGGAGGGGGAGCGTGATGCTGATGTTGGAAAGGTTGTGAATTATTTAAACAGGGAGCATGGTGTTCAGCCATGGTAAGAGAGGAAGGAAGAGAGGAAGGAAGGACTATTAGATGGTCTCCAGGAGAGAGTGTCCGGAGAAGTGTCTTTTACCACGACTATACTAAAGTAGTTATGACATATATCGAAATTACATATACTTCATGATATCACATGATGCAAAACATGACTAAGGTAGGGTCGATATGTAAACCATGCTACCGGATTCAAGCAGAACGTTAACAAGATTCCAATTTCCGTCCTAAACATGTCCCACGCTAGGCGATATGATGCACTACACTGAAATTCTATTTCGTTAATGAATAAACCACTTCTTCAGTTAATGCTCCAGAAGAGGGCAGTCGACTAACCTAAAAATTCAGGCTTGTGGATGTCACAGCTACGGCTGTGCTTAGTCTTAGCAAGAGGGTCGACCTAAGCCCTGATCTAACTTAACCTTAGCTACTATGCCTCTTCGTGAACTAGCTCACCTCTTATAGATTCGCCACCTCACTAGATCATGACCGGAGCCTGCTAGCGCCCTCAAGGCGTTCACCTGCTCCTGGCGAGGCTCAGTGGCAAATATTTCAAAACGTACGTAGTTCTACGAATAGAATATGCTCGAAGTTTGCTAAAGCCTATCAGCAAACTATATAGTTGAATTAATGTCTTGTCTCCTCTAAGCAATAGAGATAATAAAATTAGTAGAATAGTATATTATCTCCACATAAATGTCTTAAGGTCTTGGGAGACATCAAGTTCAACGTTGCATATTCATGGCATACTCTTCCAGTTCCGCCCGAAGGAGCACTAATATCGGCAGTGCCGATTTCAGTGAGAATATACGAATCAGAGATGTCAAATGAGATGCAGTCAAGTGTGTGCCAATACCGAGCGCTTAGAGGCATGCTGTCGCCGCTGCTCGCATCCTAGGTCTTAACTGTGCCGGTGTACAACTCCGACGCGAGCCAGGCTGAATCTTTGAGGGCTATTATTGTGCCTTGCAAAAAGCTGGTTACAGTTAAATTTTTCAGGAGAACGGTCGTGAAATGGTACAGAAATGCCAAAACAAGAGATATACCTATGAAATTCAGCAATCCTCTGCAGCAAACTGCATTGTTTCTTTCTCTTATCTTTGTTTCTAGTAACGTCTTCTTAAGATTAAATTATCGTTTATTTTCTACTTGTAGTTTTGCTGTTTGTTATTCGTAATTTTTTTACCTGTGCACGTGCCAAGTGCTTGGCAGTGCAAGTCGTGCGCAGAACTTCCAGCTACTGGTTGAAATTCTGACTCTAACTAACCTTTTACAAGGCACAATAACGCATGCTATCCGCAAGGCCTAAGCTATCCAACCCTCTGCATCATGCCTAAAGCGCTCCAAAGCTGATCTGCTCACCTTTCCGCCCTTAGCGCGAAGACATTTAAATGAAAAATGATAGTACTGCGCTGAATATTTCCAGCTTTCTCAGCGGCCTACCTGCTGCCCATGCTTGTGTTGTTGACGTGGTCGTGCGAGTCCGGTGAGACTAAAATCGCATCATGCAGCCCGCCGACAGATATTCACGACCGCAAAAAGCAAAAACAGAAAAGGATTCGCTGACGCCTTCTAAGCTGTTGTTTTGGGGGCGTTAGACGAAGCGCAGCCCATGCCTATGCTTTGCTAGGTGTGTTCTAGCCCTCATAGATCCAGGGCCTGGGTTTCGTTATTCCACGCAAACCCCACCATCTCCTCATTGCTGAACGCGCCGCGAAGGAATAATAAACGTGCGGAAAATGCGCCGCGTTCTCATTCATTAGGCCGAGAGAATAAAATATAACTCGTTCAGTTGTCCGCCATTACCCCTTATGTTTATACCAAAGTATTGAGTTCTCTGAGCCTCGCTCCTTCGCAAACGCTCTTTGCGCATCTCGATCTCACCGGGCAGCATCGTCCGGTTTTGTAAGTCTAAAGGCTATATTTCGCTGTGTTGTCAAATACTTACAGTTCTAGCACATTCGACCGCCTAACATACGCTCACTGAGATCGTCGTCAACTACCTATCATGACCGGCTTCATCGAGGCTGGGGCTGTTATTAGTCTGATTTCAGGCGTCATCTCGATCACCGAGGCAACTAAAACGGTATATGATGCCACCAAAGATGCGAAAGGCCAGCCAGATGCATTTCGCCAGGTGGCTGCACGACTACCGCTAGTCAACGATATCCTCCAAATCTCCAAAGAGAGGGTACAGACACTCGACATGTCTGCACAGGACTCACTGAGACCCCTTCTACAGTCATGCAATAAGAAGGCTCAGGATCTCCAGAAACTTTTCCAGAGGGTTATTCGAAAGGATGACGACAAGTGGTACGACCGATATAAGAAGGTCCTAGGTACACTAGGGAAAGGGGCTAAAGTGGAGTGTTTGATGGAAGGGATATTGTTGGACATCCAAGTGCTTGCATGCGAGAGGCTTACGGGAGCCGTTACCAATGCTCAAATGAAGGAGCTTGAAGAGGCGATCAATGAAATGGAGAAAATGCCTACCTCTCTCCCGGACGAAGCTAGAAGTGTGCACCTAACACATAGCGGCAGTGGTGATAGCGTGTGTATCGCTGACCAAGGGACCGCGAGCTTCCATAAAGGATCGGGAGATATATATGTAATCAGTGGCGGGGCAACTATTGGTAGGAAGAATTAGTGTGATATGAGAGACGTCTAGATCTGACGGGTGTAAACTAGGCCCCCCAATCAATCCAACTTCCCACATTTCCAGTATGTCCAAGCATAATTCTTAAGTAAGAGCAGAGTTTGATAGTTCCTTGCCTAACTAATTCTTTTCCTGAGTAGATAATCAAAGTCATCAAACCAACCCCCAGGTCGGGAACTTACTAAAGGATCTGCGGAAGACAGATCCCCGCGATGACAAGAAGCGCATTGAAGAAGCCAAGGAAGGGCTAATAGAGGACTCGTACCGCTGGATCCTAGAAAACCTTGAGTTCCAACAGTGGCATAACGATCCGCAGAGCCAATTGCTATGGATCAAGGGCGATCCTGGTAAGGGCAAGACAATGTTACTATGTGGAATCATCAACGAACTAGAAAAGCTAATGGCTAAGACACATATCCTGTCCTACTTCTTCTTCCAGGCCACAGACTCGCGAATCAACACCCCCACTACTATGCTCCGAGGTCTGCTGTATATGCTCATTGACCAGCAGCCATCGCTTTGCTCGCATATACTGAAGAAGCACGAGCATGCTGGTAAGGCCCTCTTTGAGGATGCAAATGCCTGGGTTGCCTTAACTGAGATATTTACAAACATCCTGCGGGACCGAAGCTTAAGCAACGCCCACTTAATTATTGACGCGCTGGATGAATGTATAGTGGATTTACCAAAACTCTTGGACTTTATAGTCCAGGCATCCTCTATATGTTCTCGAGTTAAGTGGATTGTCTCTAGCCGCAATTGGCCTGACATCGAGGAGCATCTAGAGATGGCTGGGCAAAAGGTAAGACTCTGCCTAGAACTAAATGCAGAGTCTGTTTCTACAGCAGTTAGCACATTCATCCAACACAGAGTGCTTCGGCTAGCAAGGAAGAAGAGGTACGACAAAAAAACTCGAGACGCTGTATCAGAATATCTATCTTTGCATGCGCACAACACCTTCCTCTGGGTAGCTTTAGTCTGTCAAAACCTTGAAAAGATTCCAAAACGGAACGTCATTAAAAAGTTAAAAGAATTTCCACCTGGATTAGATTCTCTTTACGAGCGAATGACAGAGCAGATATCTAAATCAGACGATGCTAGTCTCTGCAACCAAATACTAGCTTCAATCGCGACTGTATACCGGCCAATCACACTAAAAGAACTGACATCTCTTGTTGAGATGCTTGACGATATCCGGGATGATCTTGAGTCGTTACGAGAGATTATTGGCCTGTGTGGCTCTCTCCTCACTCTTCGAGATGACACTGTCTATTTCGTACATCAATCCGCAAGGGACTTTCTATTTACCAAGGAATTTAAGAAAATCTTCCCATCTGGAATAGAAGAGGCGCACTACACGATCTACTCAAGATCGCTTAAAGTTATGTCAGAGAAGCTACACCGGGATATGTACAGCTTAAGTGCGTTTGGATATCCTGCTAGGAGCATTGAACAGCCGGATCCAGACCCATTAGCAACGTCACGCTACTCGTGTATCTACTGGATTGATCACCTCCAAGACTGGAATGTCAACTCTTCTGGAAATCACAGAGTTGACCTGCAGGATGGAGGCGCTGTCGACAGCTTTCTTCAGGGAAAGTACCTGTATTGGCTTGAGGCTCTTAGCCTCTGCAAGAGCGTGCCGGCTGGAATAGTTTCAATAACAAAACTTGACTTAATAGTTCAGGTAAATATTAGGTTAACAATAATATCTATAAAAGACTTATACTAAGATAATGTAGCGACAATCAGATGCATCAGGGTTAATTGAACTCGTTCAAGACGCACGCCGATTCATTATGTATCACAAGGGGGCAATAGAGGACAGTCCTCTTCAGGTGTATGTGTCTGCACTTCTGTTTAGTCCTACTCAAAGTCTAATAAGAGGTCTTTTTAAGAGAGAAGAGCCGGGCTGGGTCACAATAAAGCCAGCTATGCAAGAAAAATGGAACCCCTGCCTCCAGACGCTTGAAGGCCAT